GTTAAAATTTGAAAAGCGTTCAAATTGAATGAATTCTATAGGATGAGCAATGTTAAGTAAACATACCTCATTACGCATTTCTGGCAACGGTTCACATTGTACTAAAATGGAAGGCCAATCAGTATAAGACTTCTGTAAAAAGTTTGGTCCTGACCACCATATGTTTAGTGATTCAATATCATCGACTTTAACTCCTCGGGAAACATAATCAGCTGGGTTTTGAGCGGTAGGAACATGACGCCATTCACAATCACCGGTTATTTCTAAAATGTCTCCGACGCGATTCCTTACAAACGTATTTAATTTACTTGGCAACATCTTAAGCCAACCTAATACAATGGAAGAGTCAGTCCAGAAAAATGTATTCGTAACTTTAATTCTTAACGAACTACAAACCTTTTTATATAGTTTTGCAGCCACTTGAGCTCCGCAAAGCTCGAGCCGTGGAATTGTAGTTGGTTTAATCGGTGCTACCCTACTTTTAGCTGTTAATAAACGTACTAATACATTACCGTTACGATCACTACTACGTATGTATAAACACGCACCGTATGCCCTTTCAGAGGCGTCCGAAAACACATGAATTTCTAATTGTTCATACGAGTTAATCATTACATGACGTGATACCCGTAAATTATTTAACACATTTAAATTTTTAGTAGCATCCATCCAGAGTGCTTGGATGTGCGAAGGAAGAGGTTCATCCCATGATAGACTTTGCAACCATAAACTTTGTAATATAATCTTAAATTTAATGACAACAGGAGAGAGAAGACCTAAAGGATCAAATATTTGTGAGATCACTGAAAGCAAACTACGTTTTGTGTTAGCCGCAGTAGAAAACCCAATTGGGAAATAAAGATCATCACAAACAGGTAACCAACCTAAACCTAAGGTCTTACTTGGCTCATTCCCCCAACATTAAGATTATGCGAGGCTTCTGTTGCAGACTCTGAAATTAATTGAGGCTCATTAGACTTCCACTTTCGTAGGAATAAACCAGCTGAGCCCAGTGTAGTTATTACTTTTTCGCGAATATTCCTCACTACATCCAGATCATCCCCCCCACTCAACAAATCATCGACGAGAAAATCATGGAGAATGACTTCTGCTATCTGGTGGTCTTGACATTCGAGTCCCAACTGTTTCAGACATCTTGTAGCGAGAAATGGTGCACTCGCGGTACCATATGTTACAGTATTTAATTGGAAAGCTCTAAGGGATTGAGATGGGTTGTCACGCCATAATATATGCTGCAGGTATCTATCATCAGGATGAACAAGTATTTTTCGGTACATTTTCTCTACGTCAGCGACGATAACATACTTATGTTGTCTGAACCTTAAAAGAATAGACAAAAGATCGTCTTGTACCATCGGACCTACCATTTGAATATCATTCAAACTAATATTATTTGAAGTAAGTGAGCTCGCGTTAAAAACTGCTCTTAACTTAGTGGTGGTACTGCTTTCGCGCAATACCCCGTGATGTGGGATAAAATATGCATTTTTATTCGAATTAAGCCCACATTCTGTCATATGACCCAACGATTCGTATTCAGTCATGAAATCGCGATACATATCATAAAGTTTTGGGTTTGTCCGAAGTCTACGTTCTAAAGAGTAAAAACATTGTTTAGCTCGCTGAAATGAATCACCTAAGATAGTAGGACTTTCTTTTAGTGGAATTCTAACGCAAAAACGACCGTCTGACAAGCGAGTAGTATTTTCCACAAAATGTTCTTCACATGACTTTTGTTCTGATGAGTAACTAGAACAAATTGAACTATTTATTTCTTCTAAATGCCAAAATTTTGAAAGTTGATTTTGAATACTTTGATTTAAAATAATATCATCGTTGAAATTATTATTTAAATAATTACACTGAATAGGTTTAAGTGGATATGATGAGAAAAATGAATTATTTAATGGACCAGAAATTATCCAACCTAACCTTGTTTCACAAAGAGTAGGTTTGTTATCACCTAACTCAATTCTTTGGTTTCCTACTATATCCCAAAAGACATCAGCGCCTAATATAAGGTCGATGGACGCGGGTTTATAAAAATGAGGATCCGCTAAACAAATATTCGTAGGAATATTTAAATTTAATATATTAACTGTACTGTTTGGTACAGTATCAGTTAATGATGGTAAAATAAAACAATTAATGTTACACGTAAATGAGTCATCCAATGACTTAAAACGCAGATTACACATTTTATCGATTTGGGTAATTGCATTATTAATACCCTGAACGGATTGACTTATTTTATTATACGACAGATTTAACTGTTGAAACATCCTGTACGATAAAAGGCTAGATGTGCTACCAGAATCTAATACAACACGAACGACGTGTTCGCGATTGTTTGAATCGTATAACTTGACTAGCGCAGTGGATAATAAAACCAAATTTCCGCGGCGACAATTATTGTCTTGACCGGCGGAAGAAACGCTGGTTGATAATGTCAAGTTATCCGGATTACTGATGGCGGGAGTAGCATTAGAACCAATACCCTCACCACGCACTAACAGCTTCTGCTTATCTGCAACGTGAACTAAAACTGAATGTTTTTTCTTACATATTTTGCAACCTGATTTTTTGCAATTATTTGAAAAATGAGATTTGGAGAAACAATTAAAACAAACCTTAAATGTTGGCAATAATTGAAGACGCTCTTCGTTATTTAAGGCTAAAAACTGAGAACACATGTTCAGTTTATGCTCGCCATTACATTTAGGACAAATCTCTTTAACGTTAATATAATTTAAGTTCTTGTGATTGGTTTGTGTTGTAACCATAGCCTTAACTTTTGAATTTTTATAACAACTACTACTACCACTACTACAACTATTTTGGTGTGACTGACGTGAAAACTCAAGTGTATCAAGCAAATTAATATGAGCTCGCATGAAATCTAGGAAATGTTGAAGCTCAATTCGCGTTTCATTACTTAAACGACCTTTATACTCTTCCCACTCACGATTAGTTTTACTATCTAACTTATGAGTAAAGTGTCCCAATGCTTTGTGGGCTCGCCCAGTGAATCCAATGCTCTGAGATTTTTATTTAACAGGTCCATAATAGTTTTTAAACAAGACGCCGTTTCCCTAGTAACCGATTCAATATTAAATAACGCAGTAACATGATGTTGTATTAATAAACGCTTGTTATCAAACCGGTCACAAAGTAACTTCCACGCTGTGTTATAATTATACGAAGAAAATTCGATCGACGAAATAACAACAGCAGCTGACCCGTCTAACGATGACCTCAAATAATGAAATTTATTTATGTCATCAATTTCATTATTACCATGAATAAGACTGGTAAAAGTGTCCCTAAACTCCAACCAATTATTTATCAAACCATTAAATTTCGGTATTTGAATCGTGGGCAATTTGACAGGATTCAGTTTAACACTATGTATGACACTACCTTCGCCATCAGATGGAAGAGGAATGTGAGATTTTTTATAATTTGAAAGAATTTTCTGAGCATTACTTAATGCCTTATAATATCTATTTTCAAATTCCTCACGCTCCTCAAACACCTGACTCTCATCGTCCTGTAAACATTCTAACCGTGTTTGCACCTCATCGAACTTATTATACAATACATCAAACCTCTTAATGCGCAACTCCAACTCCTCATAATCCCTTTCATCGGGAGGTGATGGCGATTCAAATGAAGATAAAAACCCGTTGAAAATGGTAACTTGACCCTTATAACTGCTGCGCTTTTTAATAAGTTCAGCTACTTCGGTTTTTTCAGACATGTTTGCAGAGCCAGCAGTTAAATCCTGGAACTATCGTCAATATTCTTAGGTATATAATTAAAAAAAACTTACACACACAACCAAAATAAAACAGAATTAAATTATCTACTTCAAAACACTAAAATAATTATATTTTTTGAACAAAAGTAGTAGGTAGCAGCATTCAAAACGTGACACCTACAATTTTATTAAAAATAATTATAATATACAACTATAATAATTAACACAAATCACTTTATAATTAACAATAATTAAATCAGGTTACTAAATCTTTAAAATTAAATTTAAAATTTAAATAACATAAGAAAAAACTATACCGACTCACGACACACTCCTGTACAAATCCTTTTTCTTCTTGATAACCTCCACTGACCTTGATTGAAGTAATTAATTAATTCCTTATTTCTATTGTTATTATCCGTGCTCAAAGGACCAATGTTAACGCAGGATAGTATAAAGTTAAAAGTAATTTCTTTTCTTGAAAAAAGGATTATAAATCAAACAAGATGTTTCCTTGATCAGAGGTGTAATCGGAATGGAATAAGCAATACTAAAAGCTAAAACACGCCTTGTTCTGTTTGTAGCAGTTAAGACATCTGTAGTAGTTGCTACTCAATAGTATTCAGGCGCTATGCATCAATCAATCAAATATTTAATGTACTTTTTCCTACAATCTTTTTGCATTATCCTGTACCATCAGTTTTCAAAAATTGCATCTATCTGATGACGAAAATCTATTTTATAACAGCTTAATATCCTGAGCTACGTAAGAATTGGTGTATTTATGTAGAAATTAATTAAATAAATGTAAGTAAATCTGTGTTAATTATTAGGCAAAACTAATAATGTTAGACGTCAAACAAAAATCTTTTTAACAATTACACACCATTAACAACAACTTATTTATATTTTTGTTAGTTACAATTAATTAGAAATTTAAGCATATTTTTTTAAATATAATTAATACTCATTTGGCCAAAGTATATCTAGACATTTTTTATATCACAATCGAACATTTAATATGAATCAAGTCAATTTCGTCACATATTATCTCCTACAATTTTTACATTATTTATCAATTTGAAATTGCTAAGAAATTCGTCAATCCACGGTTAGCTTATTGAAGTGTGTGAAGTGGTGTTTTGGCAGCTGGATCTAGGTACTTGTTTAGTTTAAAGTAAAGCTTATATTTCTAATATTTCAGGTGCTGTGTGGAGCGATGGCGGGCGCGGGCGCGAGCGAGGTGTCGGCCAACGCGAGCCGTGTGCGACGGGCGCCGCTCACGCACCACGCGCACCGACTTATGTTAGTATACTATGCGTTTGATAAGCCTTATATGCTAGATTTATATATTTTAGACATATTATATGTAGTTAACTTGGCAAGGCCAGCTACACTTAGGCTGGTACGAACCTTTTATTATTATCTTCGAGATCGAACCCAAACTAAACACGTCTCACACTGTTTGTGAAGGCACGAAGGTAGCGAAATTGTTGAAAATTGACGTTGGCTTTCCTGACCAACTTGCCAAGTTCAATACTTACTGTTAATTAAAAATAAATATTATTTTCAGGACGGAGGAAGAAATGGACGCGACCGCATCTTGGAAGCGTTCCCACTGGCGCGAAATGCAGTCAATACTACGGCGGGAGGGCTCCCAGAAGGAGGTTGTCGAGTGCTGTCCCTCAGTCCTAGAGATGGTCGCAAAGAAAGGCGGCCGAACCCCCACCGGCCTCTACGTAGAACTCTACGAGGACGGTGAGAACAAACAGAGGCTCTACGAACTCTCCTGCGCACCGGATGTTGTAGACAAGCCCTGCAGATTCGTAGACGCACGCCTCTACAACCAATCGAGATGTGTGCAGAAGTATTCATACTCCTACGCACTAGTAAGGTATTCTTCAGCCACCGAGATGCCGCTGCGCAATCGGCCGGAAGGACATTTCTCTGTCCCCGGCTCCGGCGGCTGGTCCATGGACTATGTGATAGTTAGAGCAGGCTGCGAGTGTCAAATCACTCCGCCTAAACGCAAGAGTGCGCACCGGAAGCGATTGGAGAGGCATCGCCGGAAAAGGAAACGACTGGAGGATGACGATGACACTTGATGTGTGTGTTGTGTTTACCAGTGGACTTAACAAATTGCGGTATTTCCGATTTAGTTTAAGATTAGTTGATAGTCGTGATCTATGTTTTGCAGCCCTTTGGATAACTTAATAAAATTCTGTAGCTCTCGTACGCCATTATATTCTCTATAAGCCTAAGCGTAATAAACAATTTCTACACTATAGTAAAATTTAATACAAATATGGGTTCTCTGCATAGGAACAACTATTTCGAAATGTTTTCTAAGTCTATTTAGTTCACTAAGGCGCAGCTTGCCGATTGAACCGTAATGGGGGACTGGAGCAGGGATCACGGCATATCAACGAAAATGTTACCGATGCCATCAAGTCAGATGTAAACTTGGTTGTTTTGACAATCGGTACACGTATTAATCTATGTATTTATTATTAATAGTCTATTTAATTACGCTTCTTGATGTAGTCTCGTCAAATTTGTAAAATAAAGTGCCTTGCTTTGTGCCTTACTGAAATATGCCAACAATTAAAATTAAGAGCTTTGAATAGAATATCAAACCATCCAATTAATCAAACTCCTTAAAAAAATATTAATACCTCATTAAGGCGCAAAGAAATTGATTGGACTTGTGAATCGAACTATAACACGTTTTCAATTTAAAAAAATGAATTGTTTGAGATCCTAATATCATTTGATTTGAATGCTCTCTTAAGTTTTTAAGAATATTTATTAAATAACTTTTTTGTACGCAATACGTTGTACTTCCCACGTAGTTTAAGTGCGTCCAGTCAAAGATCTGTATTATTTTCTATTTTGTAATACTTTTATTGTATTTAAAATTAGCATAAGTTTCATACATTTATTTATATTGTGTTATAAATACGAGGTATTCCGACGTGTAACTGTGTAAAATGGCTTCCATATTATGTATTATACACAATTAATTTTAACATTGCAATAGTATTGTGGACTGAGATTATATTTGTGCATTTAAACGTGAAAACGATATAATTAACAACTTACGCATGTATTGTTAATAGCGCCATCTGCCTTCGAGTAGGAAATTGTGGTTATACATATACGTTGACAGATGGTACTTTTTTCAAAACAATATACAATAACAATTTAACATCACGTAACAGTGCCATGTAATTTTTATACAAAGTCAATTATTAATTAATGTTATAAATGTATCTAAACTTATAAAGTATAAAATGCCTATTTTAAACATTTCAACATATCTAGTAATTATTGTACTTACAAAATTCATCTCACTGAAACACATTAAGTATTTGTAATTACAACAGTAATAAACAAACAGGCCTTGAGTTCTAAAAAGTTGTGACTTCAATTATGTGACTTACTTCAGCAAAAATGTTAAAATGGTCAATAAAAGAAATGTGAATTCGAAGACGTTTTTCATTTCATTAAATTATCCGTCAATTTAAATGGACAGTCGTCTTATAAGTCATAGAAAACTCTACAATTAGGTTAACTTATAGTTAGAAGTGTTATGGCAAATTATATAAATCCCTCCCTCATTAATCTGCATCATGATCTGTAAAATAAAAAAAAAAAATTTACAGAGATTTTAAGCAATTTCTTTTTTCGTCGAAGCAGTTTCACTAAAATTATTTTAATATATATATATAATATGTAATGTTTGTTCAAGCAAAGACAATTAAAGTAATAGACAAGCAATGTACATTATACATATAAAATAAATATACCGAAAATGCTAGCTATTTTGTTATGGCGCCACTGATAATAATAAAATAAAATTTATTTTACATATTTACTGCATAAAGAATTGAGTGTAAATAAGATTTAGTAAATATTAAATTTCGAAACCGAATCTTTAATACGTATCGCTAGATAGCAATAAAAAAAATCTGCGTATTATGATTACCCTAATGTATAAATATAAGTTTTTTTTAATATAACTTAAATAAATATTTAAGAATAGCCTACAGAAAACTATGTTTTAAACGAATTAAAAATAAAATTGTCCAGATCAAGTTTTATTTACAATTGAAATACCTAGTATGTATAAATTTATTTTCCAATAATATTGTTATTGCAACCCAAGATCTACTATAGTATACAAATTAGTGTAATGATATGAGTTATAATTATGATAAAAGTATTTTCATTTTATGACTTAATATTGAATAGTGTAGGTACGTTAGTACTATTAGCAATATCCTACGTCAATCTTGTGTCTCTTTTGCATTTCATCATTTGAATAATTCAATAAATCTTTAAGTGTTATCTTCTTCCTAGTTGGTAATAGCCTCGCCTAGGCATCAGGCAGTAGGAAAGATTTTTAACGCGATATCTCGCAGTGGTTTTCCAAACATTTCGAATTATTCGCTAAATATTTGTTATTTTGATACAGCTTCTGACATCTATCGTCAAAATTTGTTATTACCACGAGAGTTACGGCTTTTCCTTAGCAATGATTTTTCTATTTACTTTAATTGTCTTCGGTTCAAATGGTCTAATTTGAGATACAACTAATAGGTTGTTTAATGTTAGCAACGCCATCTATGCTCACCAAGGCGTACCTGAACAGGCTGTAAGTCGTAAATATTTCATACTAAAACGCGCAGTAATGATAATTAGTCTCAATATGACAAACTTAGAGAACAAAGTTGAATAACACTCACCTAGGTACATGGTAGAAAGATACATGACAGCAAACCCTGTTACCACAGCGAAGAACTGCGCAACTCCCGCTGAACGTTTTTGTTCATGCCAGCGGGCTCTTTCCCTTGGAAGAACTTCACTCACGGTTACATACAGAAGCGTTCCAGCAGCTAATGCCTATAAGAGATACAAGATTCTATTCAATGCTGATTTAGGACAAAAACGCCTTTTAAAAAAATGTGAGCAAAACCTTTTTTTGACTCTGTAAATTGCATTACAGGTTAAGAATAACATTGAAAATGTACTAATCTCAAAGTAATTACATATATCAAGCAGGGTTAGAAGTTGTAGGTTCCTTCGGTCGCGGATGAAACTACTGCGTATAGCCTTATCACACAATTATTCGTAACGCAGAATTTAGAACAAGAAAACCACACCTCAGCATTCATAATTAAGAAAATATGACCTCAGGTATGAGAGTCGCACGCTGAAGCCACTAGAAAAAAACCAAAGATTTAAAACCCCACCTATTTTTTCCCTTTTCTATATAATGTTCACATTCCGTGAAATATTATAGATGTCTTAACAACATAAACAAAACCTAAAATACCATTATTTATTAGTCTCGCCACGTATCTTGGCTAGATTTTGCGTATACTTATAAAATTCTGCACATCTAAAAACACTGTTTACTGACTATACCTGCATGATGGACACAGCAACTGAATTCTTCAGCTGGCTTATAACATCGATTCCGGCACCTAACCCAATGCCTGCAACTGAACCCCCACTGAAGAGCAGAATTGACACTATGTGAGCGCTAAGGCTTCTTCCACTCGCGCATAATTCAGCCCCAAGACAAAAACCCACCACAAATTTATGACAGGCCACTGCTGCTAAAAGAAGAAGGACCTAGAAATAGAAAAAAAAACGTAAATTAACTTAGTGATAGGATAGTACAAGTTTGTATTTTAATATTTTTGTGTTTACTAACTGATTTGATTCATTTTATCGAACTGTATTTTAGTTACTAGGTAAATTATATATATCTTGGGTACGAATCTAGTTTTTAATCCACCCAAAAATATTTATTTATCTATTTCTTTTAGTAGTTTTAGTAACAATTATTTTTATTTTTTATTTTTACTTATTCAGAAAGAAATATACTTGAATGCTTCTAATTTTAGATTTACTGCCAGTTCTCAAATCAAGGGCGTAGAACAGAAGAGAAGAACTGGCAATAAACACTCCGCCACTCTTTTCTCGATCGTTATTAATAAATGTTATGTTATGAATCCAAGGGGTAAGAAGTCGGCTTCAGAGGCACCGTAAAAACAGATACCGGCATACTTCTTGAGCATTAAACATGGGAGTGGGGGAAATTTTGCGCATCGTACACACAAACGTCAACTAATTTACCAATCACGCAATCGACACGTCACTCTCCCGCCGCCCCCCCTCCCAGTGATACCTAAAAATCGCTTCTGCGCAGGCAAGGACATTTGTTTAAGATGTTTGCCGGTATCTGTACCCTTACTTATAATATGAGCGGTTTACCTACGACTGCTAAATGTCCACACACCCACAAAGGATCGGGATTTTACCTTTTGCATAACATCAACCAAATAAAGGCAAGTGATTCATAAATAATACAACACTTATTATGATATAAGTACTTTACCTTGAAACAATTGAACAAAGTTAAAACACTGATTGTTTCGATGTAATTGATAACAATTGCTAATTGTTTATATTACAAAAAAACGATAAGAAAATACGCAGTAGGTACGGCAAGTTGCATATTAATTAGTAAAAAAAGTCAATTATAAAATATAATTCGATTTTTGTAACTAATACATGCTTTCTTTATTATGAGATCAATAACGACATATCAAAATAAATACCTAGTAGTACCTGCGATGCTGTTTCTTGCAGGCCAATAGCGAGTCCTTCCAAAAAACTGTGCACAAGCAACGCACATAATAAACCTATGACCCCCGAATAACTCCTGTTACAAGGTGCATTATGGCTAACATGACACATACGTGGATTTTCAGCACCACCACATCGTTCTCTCATCTCATCATCCCTTAAAAGACGAGATTCCTCCGTCCCATAACTAGTTCTCTCTCTTTGGCTGGTGTGATGTGCGCCGTAAAAGAAATGAACCATTTCATCTACAAAATAAACCAGAAAGAAACCAACACAAAACCCAAGTTCTGAATATTTTCCTAGCATTTCTCGGGATTCCGGCAGAATGTGGGTGAGCGACGTGGATAGTAGAACACCACCTCCAAAACAGAGCAGACAAGAAATAAGAAGGGGATGCCGCTGTCTCGATCTTTCTGAAATACACAATGGTGCCATACCAGCACAAAAACTCCCAAGCCCCAAGGCCAGCATAGATATCACTTTTGCAGTTGACACCTCCATTTTTGATCCACACTAAAACGTTATAGAAAAATTGTATGTTATCAAAACACGGCCAGTTACACGACCGACGTCTGCGCACCGGGCAGACAAGATAGTACTGTGTGTTTTGTAATCAAATACCCCTTTTTCGTTAAACACACGCATAACTTCAAACCTAATTACAACTACATAAGGTCGTAAATATATCGTTATGGATTAAATGTCAACTGACCAAGGACTAGTTTAATTGGAGCTAAACGATAATGCGAACTTAAGGAAGTACGCGAATGAATGCCAGGGCGTGCTGGTTCTTCGTAAACTGGTTATGAGGACAAAGACGTTATTTACAAAATCAGTCAGTATTGGTCAATAGGTAACATATTTCGAAAGGTCAGTTTAATGTAGTTATTAAAAGTAACGAATTATGTTTATTTGAATTATTACAATACTGCTTAAAAGTTTAAATTTACAAGACTCCTTGCGAATACGTTTTTTTTTTTTTGACAATTCAATAAGTTTACATTATAAAAACATAATGTCACTCCTATCCGATTTTCTTATCTGTCAATATTTTCAACATTTGCAAGTTCATCAATAGACAAAATGAATGAATTGCTTCAAAAACACGGGTGTTCTAACGTATTCAGCGTCCCCGAAGGTCTCAGGGAATTGATGGCAGATATTACACGTGAAGTAAGTATTCCCATCATATGATAAAAGAAGACGATTTCCTTGCTATCTTATAAAACTTATAGAATCCAAAAGGAAAACAAATATCACCATATAGATACTTCAAAAACCATATCATATAAAAACTGACAAAATATTCTAGAACCGAATATATACGTAGTTGGCGTAGTTTAAGGATTAATTGGAAATAAGATAAACAGGACATTACGAAGTCGTAACGTGATAAGCAGTGCTTTCAATTTATTAAATAGCTCAACAATTTTATAGATGACAAAATGTTGTATAGCAGCTATTAAAAAAAACTTTAGTATCAGGGCGCTTAATAGGTTTAATATATTCAGTTAAATTCCAGGTGCTGCGAGAACAGCCTCCCAAACTCTTCGACTTTATCGCCAACTATCTCTCAGTGTTACTCCTCACGCGTGAGCACGGGGTTATGGCGGTTAAAGTTCTGGATGACTTATGTGACTGCAGACCTTCGGTATCCGAACATCTACTGCAGCTGGGTCTAGCTGGCGAGCAAGCGAGGGATTTAGCTCAGATTATCAAGCAAGAGATTGAACAATTTGAGCCTGTTGCTGGCAGTGGTAAAAAGAGACGCTTTAAAATGTTTAATAGTCATATAAAAATATTATTACTACATTGCATAATTCAATGGCAATATTATGGGCCTTTTAAAATTACGCTTAAACTATTTAATATTATTAATTTTTATTGGTTTTTTTTTTATTTAAATACTTTTTTTTCAGTTCGTACTATTATAGTTTATATTTATATTTGCAGAAAAAATTAAAGAAATGCAGATAATGAAAACAATATTAACGCGATCCACTTTAGACGAGGTGATGGCGTCAAAAGTGTGTCAAGTCGCGAGAAACGCATACAGAGATTACTGGTATAGAAAGAAGACACTAGAACAGGTAATTAAGGTTTTTTCCGAAATTATTTGGAGGTCTTTGACCTAAATAATGGGTAAACATTATCATACAATTTTAGTCCATGAAAACTCAACCCGACGAACCGTGGGAGATAGCGGCGCAACACACCCTAGAAATATATAAAAAAACTAAACCATCATTCACAGAAATGAACAGAGCTGCTGAAAAAATTCAGGTAATATATCGATTTGAATGGACTAAAGTAGTCTTAGACAATTCTTTAGAAAAACATTTTTGGTATTAGAAAATTATAAACATAATATTTAACATTTAAAATACAACACATACAATATAATATTTACTTGTTCGTGTACAGATAATGAATCGTTTCTATTGTGTTCTTAATTAAAAAATCCTGATGGCTATTTCGTTATAAATCTTTCAATAAAATTCGCACATTAAATAACATTGCCAGCTATTTACAGCAGGCGCTTAAATAAATCAATTGTTCTTGACAACTGATCCAGGAAAAGATTAATGACGATATCTTTTTTACCGAATGTTATACATATAAATGTTAGTAGCTAGAGTCATCAAAGAATATTAATTAAAGCGATTTAACTAGAACTGTGTTTAATATAATATATTTCTTAGGCGGCATATAGAGGATACCATCTTCGAAGAAACCTCCTTAAGCATTTGAAACAGAAGAAGAAGGGTCCCAAAGTCGACTTGCCCGGCCCACCGCTGGACATTGGCGGGTCCAGGGAAATCGAACTTGGACCAGTGCTTGTAAGTTTGATAATATATATTATTTGAATAATAATTAGACAGTAATGTACCCTAACGTGGTACCAGATAATTATTTTCGCGTGGATAAACCTCTTTTTTACAGACATTTCTGGTGCTACACTTATAATGTAATTACTTCTATTAAAAAAGGTTATAAAATTAGGGGAGGTAGATGTTTACCCATTACTGATTTAATAGATGTAATAACTTAAACTTAAAACATTTTTTTCTACAAGAAAGTTCACAAAATAAAGTGCGAAATAATAATGGCTAATAAGTAAAATTATGTTCACTTAATTTTCTACAATACTAGTGAATAGCTTAAACTAAGGTAATGTTCATAGCCAGTCTTAGTGTTCGTGTGCCCGAGATAAACTTATAACTTAATTGTAAAAATCATTACCCGTTGAACTCATCCGTCTCTTTTCATCACAACGTAAACACAATTTGTCAGATAAAGAAGAAAAAGAACTTTACTTAAGAGTGTAATCATACTGATTTAGTTTTATAAAAAACGGGTTTAGACTTCAATCAAATCAAACAAATTTCAAAAGTTTCAAGTCGTCTTATTATTAAAACCGCAATTCTTCTACATATATTAATTAAAACAGAACATTATGTCGTACGCATACAAAGTTAAATCATGATTATCAGAACCAGAAATTAATGATAAGGAAACTTGTCGAGGAAATTATAATTATAATTATTACTACACTAACACGTGTCAGCAAAAAATAAATAAAATACAATAATAATAGACTCGTTTGTAGATACCCGCCGAACTTGAATTATAATAATGTCACGAGACAGCTGGGGAAAAACCGTAAATATATACAAACATCATGGCGTTTTATCATTGCCCGATCCTTATCTAAGGCTAAATTTACAATTTATTAAGTTTTTTCATTGTTCATGTTTCTTTGAAAGTTGGTTATTGTCACTGCATGTTTCTATTTATCAATTGATTAAAGCCTCTTCTGATTCCAGCAGTGGCGTAACAATAGAGTGGCACGGCTGGCAAAATGCCACGGGCCCCCGACCCAAGAGGGTCCCTGCCCAAGAGATGTTATGTTCTATAGATGAATGTGAAGTCTCCAATACGCATTGGGCTAGCGTGGGGACTACAGACTATTTCCACTCGCCTAAGAGAGGAGGCCTATGGCCATATACAACGTGTAATTGAATACGCTGAAAATCTCGAAGTTTATTAAAATTAAACTGAGTAGGGACGATTTTTACTAATAGGGAAAATGAAGAGAATTGCCACGAAAGAAGATTTGCCACGGGCCCCAGATGGTATAGTTGCGCCACTGGATTCCAGTATAATAAGCCAGCCGGCTCCAACTGCTACTGAGATCAAAATATATCACGTTTGTAATTTATATATCTATATCACTTGAATTTTACACACGTTGGTCCAATCCTACGATAACCTTTGGGGCATTTATTTCTCTCCTTTTTTTCTTTGTTTTTCTTTCTAAAAATGAGATATTCCGGCGGCAATTCAGGTATGGTAGGCTCTTTATACACTGCTTCCTTAATTGGACAAGTACAATTGACCAACGGTGATAGTTCTCCCGCTAAAACTGGATGCTCTTCATCTTCCTTAATTCTATCTGGAGATGACAGATACTTTCGGAGCTCTTCAAATTCAGCGATCGATGTAATCTTGCATTCGCAATCATCGCTCGAAACCAGGATAAGGCACGAGGAAAATAAAATACTTAATAATTTAAACGCCATGTCGCTCCGAGCGTTTGAATGGATGTGAAGAATGTTGACGGCGGTTTTATACTATAGTCTCTTCTGGATTTTGTCCGGTTGCATTACAAGATTCCCGTAATGTAATTGCATTTGGGATTTCCTAAGATGCTTCTAAAGCACTTCAGGCTTGTAATCAACTTATCAATATTATCCCTAAATGTGTCAAACCGCCGCGCAAAACAAATATAGCTAGCACATGACTAATAAAAAGGATCAATTTTTTTTTGGCATGATTCAGATGAACTTTAGAAATTTTGATTTTGTCATAGATAAAAGTTACAGTGAATCATTGTACACGGTAGTGTTACAATTTTTTTTCTTAGTTGTAAAAATTACATAAGTACTGTGTTGTGAAATAAATACTTCTGAACTATTATGATTAAAAACTGGCGGATAATTGTGAAGTTCGCGTCTTTAGACCCCAAGAAGAAAGGCACTCACTTAACAAAAAATTTATAACTTTAATTTATTCGAGATACTATAGAAAAACAGCATTGACCCTTTATTGATTATTATGTTTAAAGTGTGACTATTGAATTTAGCCGCCTATTTTTGGAAATCAGTAATGTCTTCTTAGGCTTCATAATTATTAAATAAATTTTAGTAACTACAGCTATTAACTATATCATATACTATACATATATCTATATTATACACTGATAGGATGGCATATCATATCACTAGCTGTTATTTTTAACGCATCAGTAGAACCTGCGAAATTTTAAAGATATGTCGTCATTTATTCGGATTTTTATTTTTTATTTTTAGATAAACTTGATTATGAGGAAACAATAATTTTAATTAATTTATGAATTACAAATGACACTGACAAAATTTCTAACCACATTTTTGACGGTTGGGATTTACGAGTAATTGTAAATACGTCATTACGTCTTTATTCTAACGTCATCGTTTGAATTAATTAGGGCAAAACATTTTGATTTTCAATAGGTAATAAACAAAAAACAAATCGTTTCCTGCTAATATATGATTTTGTCCGCATTGAAGAGAATAAACAATTTTAATAAACATTAATAAGATAATCTAGACTTTATAGCTTTTATTGTTTAAATTTAATCAAAATTCTTTGCCGCCCTTTCGAGTAATTTTCTCCTAATAAGACAATTCTCAAACAGAAACTCCGTGTACCAAAAGACAATGTGCGACCAATGTTCGGTGAGCACGCCACACAGAAGCTGGGCATACCGTACGACCCAATGATGACTATCACCCACGTGCCAGAAGACCAAGAGTCCATAACCAGTGGAGGAAGTAGGGGCATTGGCAGGTTTACTGACATACCAGCCGTTAGAAGTTCAAGTATTATTACCAATACTGCACCAGGTGGGTTTTTTTGGTAGCTAAAATATTTCATATCAAACCAGTTTCCACTGAAGTTTAATGAGATGTGTCATAATGTTGTAGCACAAGACCGGGTTACATAATATTGTACCTATTATCAAAATGTTTAAACCTTCGTCTGACTCCAATCTTTTAAAGGTCCTTAATTGGTGGCAAATGTTGATATTATTTGACAGTATTATAGCTGTGCCAACACGGAATTTGGTTAAATATTCAAATCGCTCTGCATCAACTCAAAAGAGGTTTAGTTTCGTTTGAATCGGCTGAATGATCGATACGTTTCCCTTAATCTTAAAATTGTATTATTACTAAGACCCCTGAGATAACGTTTACGTGACAAATCGTCCATTAATAATAAGATTACATTTGTTTTAAATTCATGACGATGATATTACACGATAATTTAATTCTCAAGATTCAAGTGCAACGAAACATCAAAAAATCCAATGTACCTTTCGTAACCCATAGCCTATACTTACACAGGTAACATTAAAAGTATAGTTCAATTGAATTGACTTGTGGCCCTTAGATTGATAAAAGAGAATCCTTGGGAGATTTGTTTAGTTAGTTAAAAGAGATTTTCGTCTATTGTATACTTTAACTATACCTGCCCTGCGATTCTGTAACTCACTTTTCTAACTCACACAGCGGTTTTCGCATCGGCGGTCGCTCTCAAATCAGTCGTGAAGCAGTCATTTTATGATTTGGCATTCTGATAAACAATAAACTACAAGCTCCCACCTTTTCAGAATGCCAGATTTTGTTCTAAAACACTTCGTCTAGTGACATTTTTAGATTAGGCACTATATTCGCGTGCACTTATATAAACCCTAGAAAATATAAATACAGAACTTTTACGTAAAGGAAGGTAACTCTTTATATTCCATGACTTCATGAGTGACGTATTTATGATGTAAGCAAATAGCTAATAGCAATCATGGCATAATTACGCTATTTCTAAGATACGGGTGCATTAAGTAAGTTTATTCAACTAATACTTTGTTTTTTCTTACAAACTGTAATATTATTATCTCAGCACTATATAATATTATTTTATATATATTGTTATTTTGCTTTTGGATTGCCGAGTCAAAGTCAAATTATTTTTTCAATTAGGCCTTTGAAAGTCAACATTACAAGTTAAAAATATTTTTTTTAAAATGACTAACACTAGTCTATATATAGACTATATGAAACTACCTACTACAATTTTTATTGGTTATGGTTCACTATATTGGATTTAATGGCTTACACATAAGACATAGAGTTATACGGTGGCGGGCTTTTTCGTAGGACTATTTAAGGTAAACATTTCCATCATATATTACATACTTATGTGTTACTCTAGCGGTTTTGGCAGCCAGAATAGCTCGCAGATGGTAGATTTTTTCCTACTTACTTGATATTTTGGACAATTCACACAATATCTTTATAAATGGTAGCCTATGTGTTATTCTGATGTATAATTGTATAAGCTTTATTATTGTAAAGTTTCATTAAAATCCATTGAGTAGTTTTTACGTGAAAGAACAACAAACATCCATCCATACTTACACTTACTTACATAACTTTCGCGTTTATAATATTATATTTTGTATATATTGATTAGATAATATGTGAAGACTATGTACCTAGAACATAAAACTACTACACTAAAATAAAATAGCCGCATGGTGTTATATAAACTAAATTATTATGTAGATACATGGTGCTCACATATTCACCAATATTGAAACTATACATTTTAATTATATATATATATAAAGCCATCGTAATTTAACTAAAATGTCTTTAACCGCGTTCTGCTATCGCATATTTAACCGCTGTGGTTAAAAGGCAGCCTAATTATGTTTATCATGTAATTCATCCGGGTTTATATTCGTTTTCTGATTTAAATTTACCTAATACTCAAATATATTTTTCGTCTCACAAATTTTCGCCAGCAAAAAAGTGTTCGAAAATAAGTGAGTAAGTAATAAATGAGTGGAAATCTCCAATAAAATAAATAACAAGTTTTATTTGGATAATCAGGCGCAGGACAGGTTTTAATGACCGCCACAGTGGATGTGAAGGGTCCAACTTCAGTTGTACAATCCGTGCACAAGATATCCTTTGCTGAGGTACATTTCTTAATCTAGTATTTGCTACTTCTAAGCCACTTATTGTTTACTAATATATTCCTTGTAATGAATTGATATATTGGTCTAAATCCCCTATAAACACCTTACCAGATGCTTATTTAATGAAAGTATTTTATATTTAATTTAATATGTCAATAAATCTGGTGTCTCAATTTCTCCAGAGTATGTTTAATTAATAATTTAAAAAAATATTTTTTAAATTTCCCGGTATGATTATTGGATAAATTCTTACCAATCAAAGTATGAACCCATAATTCAAACTTTATCTCCCATTCTTTCGGTCCCTCGGGTTCCTGTATAAACAGGTAATTCTGTACTAGCATTTTGCAACGGTTGTTTATTGAATGAAATTGAAATTAAATTAAAGATTATTTTATTCTGAACACGGTGTATAGTGTTCAAAATCATCCAGAATTGGGTTGTCGAATTTTAAAAAGTAAAATTTGCTAAAATTATTATGATTTAAAATTTCTTAGCTAATGATCTTCTATATTTCTATATTAAAATATATTGTATATATTAAAATATACATTTTATATTTTATTTTCGTAAATTCCATTGGCTTTCAACGGATCCAATATGCGTGAAATTTGAGCCTGAGAACTCGACGGTTCTTGTAATATTTAAAACCAGGATTCATTGGGGATCATACACCTTTAAAGATAGAAGAATTTCGAAAAAAGTGAAACAGAAAGTGATGACGAAGAAGATTCAGAAGTTGAAGAGTAGTTTTATGTCCTATGACTCGATTCTGAAGAATTAAAAAAAATTGTATATTTAATTTTTTAAGATTACCCTGATTAAAAAAATTCACTTTTATGGGTTTTGAATTTTTTCCAATATTTCAATTATTTCAATTTCTCTTTTACATATTTTATAGATTTATAATTTGCATGTAGTTAATTTTTTATTTTTTTTCAATCAATATTTTTAATCAGGGTATTATTATATATGTCACTCAACCTTCTTTTTACTAAAGATGTATATATACTTTAGTTCACATAAAAATTCCATAAATAATTAATTGATTAAAAAAATATAATAACTATTTCTCTATTTAAATAATAAACTACTCCAAAATATGCATATTATACGAGTCCATCGCTATCCTTTTCTTTTCCAAGCCCAAATAGCATCCACTCTCATTCTTTAAGTGGCGGACTTTAAACAGCTCTATGCTGTGTCCTCTTCTATCGCATGGGATGGTCGGTTGGGACCTCTCATCACACACATTCACTTGGAGCAATATTTTACTTTTTAAAATTCGACAACCGCAATTCTGGACTGATTTTTCGCAACAACCCTATCCACCGTGTTCAGAATAAAATAATCTTTAATTTAATTTAAATTTCATTCAATAAACAACCGTTGCAAAATGCTATACAAATTACCTGTTTATACCAGGCAACCCGATAGTTGTGACCGGATAAGATGGGCAGCATAAAGTTTGCATATTCTATGGGCTTCATACTTTCGATTGGTATAGAATTTATCCAATAATCATACCGGTGAAATGTTTAAAAAATATTTTTTTAAATTATTAATTAAACATACTCTACTGAAATTTGCTAGACAACCCATATGGATTATATTTATTGACATATTAAATTTAATATAAAATATGTTTCATTAAATAAGCATCTCGGTGAAGGTCGTTGTATAGCGGGATCTTCTACTATATGTTTTGAAGGTGGGAATGTAAAGATAATAAACATTGATTCTAATTATCATTAATAATATTACTATATACTTTTACTTAACTATACTAAATACTTTTTATTGTATTAATCATGGTAGTTATAATAGTGTTAACTAAAGACATACTTAATTATTTTAGGTGCCGCCGGAGGTGATTCCAGATTTTCAATTGGAGTTTTTAAAAGAGAACGATGTATCTTATGCTGCAGAACAGGAAATACCAGAAGATATACCAGGTTGGTATTAAAAAACTGCAGATTTATCTATGATATTCAACGAAGACATTATGGCTGCCATTGATCATAAATAGTAAATGAAAAAGGATTTGAGCAAAATTAAATTTATCCAATGGAAATTACTTATTAAAAAGACAATAGACTAAACGTTCTATTATTAAAATTTTACATTTTTCTTCAATTTAATAACAGACCATTATTAAATTTAATTTTTTTTCAGATGACAAGACAGAAGGCGATGGTGAGAGTATACCTGCATCAGCGCCATCTACAGCTCGCGACTCCGCTTCTATAACAGACGTAGAAGATGAAGGTGACAACGCTACAGCAATAACTGATGAGGAAGCAGGATAGATATATTATAATGTTAAATGGATAGATATAATATAATACAATGTTACATAATTTTTAGTATTAACTTTATTTAACGTTTGCAAGAATGATCTTTACTTTCACGATTTCTGTCGAAGATAATATGCTTTAAGAAATTAGTTCATTTTACTTTTATTAAACATTATAACAGATAACACGAGTTCTTATTTCAAAGATATCACATAAAATAACAAAACATCGCCTTGGTCGTAGCCGTATAGATATTTTACTCCTGACATATTTTATTTACAAAATGCAAAAACCTTTAAATGAAAATCTGTGCCAAATATCACTTCCTGAAGGTTTAGAAGAACTTATGTCTGATATAACAAGGGAAGTAGGTATAGAACCAATGTGAATTATGAGAAGCTAAGTAGGTGGTGTCTCAAGAAGGAAATTCGAGTCTTTACTGTCATCATCATCAATGGCTGTACAGCCACGGCTATATATGTATGGTATACGGCTTAGCCTCCGCAAGGTTATTTCGCGATCGCAATCTATCTCGTGCTTCTTGCGTCCAACTACGAACTCACCAATGCAGCCTCTTTCTGCCGCGTTTTCTCTTGCCATCAGGTTGTAAATTCAGTAAGGACCTTGGGGTTCTGCCGCAATTCGGTTCCCATATCCCAACCCCTTATCCAGTTACATCTTATGCAGTACGACGTTGGCGTCGTTATAAAGTACTTCATTGAAGCGAATACGCGAAACACCGTCGTCGCTAACAGGGCCATTCATTCTTCGAAGAATTTTCCGCTCGAAAATATTGAGATCAAGCACGTCCTTCTTTCTAAGGGCCGGAGGCATTACTATATTAGTTATTAACTGAAAACTGTTTCTAAATTTATAACTAGCGATTAAGACTTTGTTCGCGTAAAATAATATAAAGCTTGGTGATATTCAAAGTCGAAACAAAGCGCGAATTATGACTCATGTATTAGACAAACACATTGAATTTTGATGTCTCGTTTATGAATCAAAGTGTAAGGCCATTTGTCTACCGCCGCCGTCACCGGGACGTCACCGAGAACGAGATTTTTATTAACTACGAAGCATCGTCGGCTGGGATGACGGCGCTCGGGTGACGGGCGTGCGGTGGACACATGGCCATATAAAATGTATGTATCGCTAAATCAGCGCCGTCATCTCGTTCTCAGTGACGTTCTCAGTGACGGTGGTGGACAAACAGCCTAAGTGTAAAGACTAAAGCGATTTTAGTTTGCGACGAATTGGTTTTCAATGATTGATTGATCTACCTAACATAGTAAAATCCATTTCTCTTCGCGTAGACTCCTGCGTGAAGTTTTAATTTATATTTTGTAAAGGTCCAATTCAATTCTTTGAACTGAAAATATTTTTAAAAATCTCAGGCATGCATAATGGCCATATTAATAAGAACCTTACCAGCTTAATCTTCGTTATCATCTTCTCAATGTTATAATTTATTTCGTCCAGGTACTAAGAGCTCAACCGCAAAACGTCTACAGTTTCATAGCTAATTATTTGGGAGCCTTACTTGAAGTCCGAAATAACATCTCCATTGCTGCTCAAATATGCAATAATATAAACGAAAGTTGTTACCAACCAGAATTGGTTGAGGAGCTAAGAAATATCGGTCTCATAGATGAAGACGTAGACAAAACTGCGGATATTATTAAAGAGTATTTGGAAACTGATAAAGGTATCAAATATACTATTGTAAGGTAGCGAAGGAATTTTTAACTAATGGTTTTGGGCTTAAATTTCTCTCCCTTATCATCATAGGCTGGGATCAGCCTTCTGTGCCTGACAGTCACCGTCGAATTTTGGATCTTAGTTGTGCAGGTTTACTCATTATGTTTTTCGATTGCGTAAAGATAGAAAAATGACCAGTTACTAGACCAGACGCAGTTGTTAGTATAGTACACTAACAATTATCAATTTCTATTACAGAGTACTCAAAAGAATTATTGAGTTTTTAACGTTTAAATATACCTAATAAAAGTTATGATTATATTATTTTTCAATTACAGTTAAAGAAACAAACTTATTTCTGCAAATATTAAGAAAAACCAGTATACAGGAGAGTCAACTAGCGGCAATTCAAAGTGCAGTGCAAAGGGCTTTTCGAAAAAATCGATTAAGCCAACCTAAGGTACCTTAAAAGCTTCCATTCGCATTAAAATGTATATATGTAACATTTATATTTTATTTAACTATTTTTCAGATAAATTCCTGTAAAAAAAATACAGCATGTAAGTATGTAATATGTTAGTTATCAATAGATTAGTAACGTTTATTTTTAAGTCTGTTAAAGTTAACAATATATTAGTATCTGTTTTTAAATAACCATTAATGGAAAAAATTTATATATATATATATTATATATATATATTACACATATAGATTACTATATTATATTAGTATCTGTTTTTAAATAACCATTAATGGAACACTAAGCATACGTGACATTCTGTGTAATACACAAAATTAATGTTTATTGATTAAGGCAAATGGTTGTTGCTCCGTTTCCAAATTAAAGATCAGAAATTTTAAGGTTCATTCACTACCAAAATCTGTCAGAACTCATTAAAACAAAAGATACATTATCGTGTCAATTGCGTCATTCCAAATTTAAATTTCAGAATATGAATAGATTTACATTCCAATTCCAGGTGAAATCGCATCATCAACATCTCTCGCCGGATCTTACGTCGCACTTCCGAGGCATGTACCATATTCGGCACATGACAACCTTTCTATTATATCAGAAGATAGTACAGTAAGTTCTGACACAGAAAATATATCAGATATTTGTGTTGATGAGGTTGATGATGAAAGCGATACTTCATCATTAAAAAATGTAACCTTTGCTATGACTTATTCTTAATTAACTACGAATAATAGAATATCATGAATAAAAATAATGGAAAATTCGTTTAAAAAGTTGTAATGACCTTTTTATTTTGTAATACTTTCTATATATTTTAGATTAATTTATATGATACTTAATTTGCTACTTTATATATTTTTATGGCTATTATTCTGAAAAACTATATTTTATAGTACGTTTAAATTTGTATAATTATTGTTTGAAAATAAAACGAAAGTGTTTTTATATATTTAATTTTTAAATACATAGTTTTATCCGATTCTTCAATGTTAGAAGAAATAAAATCGGCTTTTATTATAATTAAATTATGCTTAACAAAACTGTGTACTTATTCTAATTATAATATAAATTCTACACATTTGGTTTATTAATTAACTTAACTAAAAGGTGTAAAAGAAAACGTGTGCTCTAGTAACATTTTTCTAAAACAATAGATACTAAAATACAATTGAAAATAAATTTAGAACAATTGTGTATCTTTAGTATGAAAATTGATAATAAGTAACTAATAAACAATTTAAAGTTCATTTCTGTTACAACTTTAATCATGATTATGCATTATTTTTAATAAACTAACGCCGGATTTTCAATATAGAAATTATAAAATTCAAAATGGCTTAAAGTAGGATATAAAATAAAAATCACAGCAAGAACGCTCAAAATATATTCTAAGTAACATAATAGTAAGATAAAATATTTATTATAGGTAACAATAGTCTAAAAAGACCTAACAAAATTAACTTAGACTAGGTATAACAAAATAAACTTGATCGATGAATTTAACTCAAATACCAGTGGTATTTACATAAAACAAATACGCCACTAGGTCAGATGTGCTTGTGGCTTTATAACATTTCTATTCTTAGACGGAAAATTAAGCTGCACAGTCGTTTGTTAACTGTTAACTACCATTTAGTAAAGATACCTTCACCACAGTAGACCAGTCAGTCAAGACAATTAATTCATAATAATTCCAAAAGTTTTCAAATTTTGATGTAAGGTCGGGAGTGGTATTAAAACAAACTATAAAATTTTGCAACCTGCTCTGCGGTCCGGAACATTGTTAAAAATAAGTTTTGGTCGTGAAAAAATTTCCAAAAGTTCTGCAAACTTGGGGAAGTTTTCGATATAATATTTCATATCACGTATAAAATTTGCAACCCAACCTAAGTGTACGGAACATTTTTTGTTATTAAAAATTAATGTTTTTCTTTATTAAACTGAAGGAAAACGTTCCAAAAGTTCTGCAAATTTGACAGATATATCGAAAATAAAATAAATAACAAAAAATGTTCCGTACACTTAGGTTGGTTGCAAATTTTATACGTGATATGAAATATTATATCGAAAACTTCCCCAAGTTTGCAGAACTTTTGGAATTTTTTTCACGACCATACAGCAAAAATTAATTTAATTGCAATTTTAAAATGTTCCGGACTGGGACAAGGTTGCAAAATGAGATTTATTGTCGTCCCAATGTACCATTATTGAGAAGTGAAGACTTTTGGAATTATTATCAAATTTTCGATTTCGAATGTCTATAATGACTGGCCTACAGATACAATGGGAAGCCATGCGTTTGATACTTTGAATCCTCCGTTTACTAATGGGCATTAAATTCTATATTGAAAGACTATCATATCGACGACTTTGACCCTTGAAAGCGTTAAGTGTCACTCACAAATGTCAAAAACTGTGGATTTGACATACTTAAGTGTTAAGTCTGGTCTATGAATCTGCGCATAAAATTTATACACAGATTCACACCGATATTTCGGTTTTGATTTTTAAGAAAAATACTGAATTTGGAATTTGAAAATTAATTCGTCAAATACTAATTGACATTTGTTAGTGGCATGTCACTTGCCGACGTTGATTGGAACTTCTATATAACTATAAAAATCAGAGAGCAAATGAGATTTTTAACAACAAACAATGCAAGGTTTGCAACAAATATACTTTGACTTAATGCTCAAAAAATTAACCGCGTATATTCCGTATTCTAAATTCGTCTTCCAAGTGTAAAGTTGAACCGGCACCTTAATATAATTTTACAAGAGATCTATGATTAACTTTGGTCCAATTGTGCGTTACTTAAATCTTAATTATATTTAATTTTGTGTTCAGTCTAGCTATATTGTGTCGATGCCGCCCCCCATCAACCGGTTCCCATATTCACTGAGTAACTGTAACAAAAAGAAGCAGATAAAAATATTATTAATTTGAAATTTTTAATGTTGAAGTCAACAAAATCGAGCAGCACAATACAATCGAACCCGAAACCTCAAAGCAGAAGTTAAAATGAGAAATATTTATACTTTTAAAATAATTTAAATATAAACCAACTCTTCAAAGTATGTTAAGTATTTCCATCATGGCGGTGAGGACACATTACTGAATCTGTTTCATAGGCAATGTTCGACAATATCAGGAAAGTTAAACCAAACTCTATTTTTTATTAAAATATCATAAATATGATAAACAAATAAATACCTTATACAAAAAGATGTAGTGGTGTCTGTTGGTCAAAGAGTGCGGTCGTTGCGTGCGTAAGGCGCGTACGGTCCGCGGCAAGTCCGCGCTTCCCGAAGCGAGCGCGCGCGCACAAATGTCCGCTGCTATAAGGGCCGCGGACCTACCAGCTCCCGATGCGCAAACAACAGTGCATGGTCGTATTCCTAGATTTATAAATAAAATAAAGTCAAAGATAATATAATGTTTGTAGTTTTTGTGAGGATAAACGATTTTATGAAAATAATAATTATTTTAATTAATATGGTGATAACAGAGCTTTGGAATGGTTTTGATGTATTTTTTTTCTTAGTTTAAATAATGTGTACATTAGCAAACTTTAGTAAAGGGAACTTAATGTTTAAAAATAAATCACTGTCTCTACATTGTTTTAAACTGTTAAAGTGTAACGACAGATTTAGTTTTTATGTAGTTATATTATCACTAAACATATCTACACAAATCGCCCTTATTTTTTGTAGTCGGCTAAAAATAGCCAAACTCAGACAGCAGCAAAACTAAAATTAAAAAAATATATGTATATTTTCTGATACACTCGTAAATCTCCCAACCTTCAGTTTCCGAAGCAGTCTTCATCTTGCCCAATGTCCCATTGTTCCCATACCCCCGTCTCAATAACTCCTCGGCCTTCGCCGGTGAGTAAACGTTGACTCCGTTCCCTGAACTATTATCGTCACTCTTCAACTTCGAGAGGTTGTTGTATGACGAACGGTTTTGGTCCTCATAGATTACTTCCAGTCCTGTGAAAAAAATATAATTCAGAAAGACAACACTGTCATGGAGATCATGAACCCTTCCTGGATTGGGTTACGTTTTCACAAATTAATAGTTTATATTGTGACAAAATAGATTTTTTTAGTGGACATTTGTAATTTCGTAAAAATCGATACAAATCGATCTCTTTAGTTAGCACATTTCAAACACACAAACTCGTGTATACGTGTATTGGCGCGAGATATTAAAGATGTAACATAAGTAGCAAACACACTTTTAAAGGCTCAAATGCCAATGTAGGAAATTTTTTAAGGCTATTAAAGTGTTTTCTTTTTTTTCCTTTTAGATTTTAGGAGCTTTAGTTATTGTATTTTTGTACATTTGCTTAATAATTAGGTGTTTTATAAAGCAGGGTCCACACTTTCCCGGGGAGGCCGGGGGGGGGTTCCCGGGGGGCCGACCACCCCGGTTTGTGAGCCCCCCCCGGCCCCTTTTTCGGGTTGAAAAATCCCGCCCCCGCCCGGGCCGTCCTTTTTTACATTAGATCTTAGAGACGTTTTAGTTTAGTTTAGTAGGGTTTTTTGTTCATTTGTCCATAATCACCAGTCTTGGTGTTGAAATAATGTAGGTAGCCCGGTTGGCTCTATAACATTTCCAATTCAAGTACTTGCCCCCAATCGTAAAGATTTCCTTCCCTCCAGAGTTTATAGCCTCAGGTAAGGCAATCAGACCTCAAATTAACTTTCCAATAAAATGTTATGGAAAACAATCCTACAAATATTAAGATAATATGACGTTAAATAGTAATTCCGAAGTACCTTCTTCGTCGTACTCCTTAGCGCCTTGCGAGATCTTCATGTAACTCCTCATTTCCGAAAGGAAATCTATCACCGAATCGTAATCGTCAGGCACACCCTTGGCCGGCCAGAAGTACCAGAGGTGAGTGACTTCTCTCCAGGTCCTGGTGGACAGGTTGATCAGCTGGATGGAGGTGATGGCGTATTTGTCCCGTTGTTCACGTTTCTTAAGGATTATTTGGTATTCGCCAAATGTACGCCGGTTGTCCGATATTTCGGATGGTGGTAGATATTCGAAACATTTTTCCTGTAACAATGTGAATGCTTTATTTTTTACAGTATAAAAATTATACTTCAAAAAACTGCTTACAGATAACGCCTGTTCCCCGTGCGGTTACAATTTTAGGTACTTAGATCTTGAATGTTTTTAAACCATTTTTTATCAGGCGCAAAAATCTCATTGAAGTCGCAGGATTAAAATTGTTCTTAAATAAAAGGAAAACTTCGCCAATTAATATACTGCAATTAACACTTAACAATTAACATTAAAATAAACATTCTTAGCCTTCGGTTTAGATACCTTTATTATGTAAAATATACCATCTAACGGAGTAACAAGTTCTGCACGAAATTAAAATTTATAACAAAAATAAAACATTTTTACTATATGCAGAGTATATACTACGATAAAATGTACTTACAACACCGTTTTCCATATATTCAGTTAGCATGACTATAAGTCGCGAGTTCTGTTCCCATATCATTCGCCAAAAGTCCAGGACAGTGTTGGAAAGTGGGGCCTGACAGGCGATGTAGTAGTTTTTAATATTTCCTGGTCCCTGAAAAGCAAACTTTTATGTTTTTAATCGCTTTGATTAAAGTATCCTACCGGGTAACATTTAAACAAAAAACGAAACGATAGCGCTTTTCGCTTGATTGTGATTGGTCAGACGT